TAACGTTCTTGCAGTTTTTATTGAAAATGTTACTAATGATATAMTATATTATACATCAAAAGTATACCATAATTTACATCCACTTGTTAAAACTAACTAGGTGCCTGTCCAATAATTTTCTTGATATGAAATATGAGTTCATGGTCTATGGACTATCAACTCATATTTCATAARTAGAAAGAACAATATTTATATTATATATACATCAGCTAATGAGCATAGAGTATCCTGTGAGGAGGGGCTTAAAGGAAATTAATTTCTGACWGCTCCGTGTGAATAAAATCTGACTCATGCTAAAACTACTATAAAAAACACATCTAGAACCAAGAGAATTCCATTCAGTTTCTGTGAAAGTAGTGGCCGAAGAACCATCAACTGCAGACAAAATATTTAGCATGGAGTAGGAAGAAAGCACCTTGTCTTCATTTTTTTTGTTTTTTTTTTCACTAGTTTCAATGCTCTATGACTCAGCTGTAAAACTACGGCCATAGTATTGTTCAATTGTCTCTATGACATCATATCTCTTCATGTTCTTAAAAAGKTTACAAAGATGTTGCACAGTCATAGAAGGATTCTCTGCCATTGCCCACTCAATAAGAACAATTGTGGGGATCTCGGTGGTCTCTTTTTCAAATGTTTTGTACTGCTCATAGTCCATAYCTAGCTTTATTGCTAAGTGTCTCCAATCTTTCACTGTGCCACAGGAGTTTTTGTTCAGCAAGTAGCAGAGAGATCGCATTTCATCACTGTTGAGAGGGAAATGYGTCTTCATTAGACCTATGGAAGAAAAAACATCACTTTTCAGTTGAAAGTGCACCTTCATGCTTACTCTAAACTGATTGTAAATATAGATGGGATAAGACAAAATGAAAGAGAAAGATTAAATTTTGTGGGAAGGCAAATKGTAATTGCTTTCATTGCGATGAGTGGAAAGAAACATTTTCCTGATTCAAGGTGTAAGGGAATRAAGGTTGCTAATAGAAAACACAATAAAAAAGTCAAAATCAAACTAACCTGGTCCAACRTTTGAAAGTTTGTCCACAATATCTTTCCTGTTAATATCTTTCATTATTGTTTTAAATTCATCAACTGAGAGGTTCGGGCGCTTTGAATAAATAAATGCAAACAATCCAGGAACGCCATTATGWGGGTTGTTTCCATCTTTGATTTCTTGGAGAGTTTCTTTAGATAAATCCAGCTTTAGTCCCAGATAATACCAGTTCTTGACAACTCTCGATTCTTTGTCAAGCAGGGTTTCTACCTCTTCCATCAATTCATCATTTGAAGTCACTTCTTCACTGACCTTGTTCTGCAATTTAGTTGCTACAAATAAAAAGCATGTGTACTTATTACATTTATGAAGAGAYGTAGTTTGCCATGCCTTGTGTAATAATAATAATAATTTTGGAAATACTTCTTAAGTATTTCCAAAATTATTCTTATTATTACATTTACCTTTAAACATGGCATAAAGCTACTAGTAAATAAATAGTTTGGGTTTATGATAAAGTTTTTTTTGGGAAAATATGATAAATTTGGACTTTTACTTCATGGACTAACCTGGAATTTTCTTTTGAAGCAACTCCACTACATCTCTTCTCTTCAAACTATTCAATACATCTATAAGCTTATTTACTCTTAAGTCTTCAGTTTCATCTGAAGTGCTTAGTGTTTCAAAAAGCACTCTCGTTTGACTATGGTGTGTGAGGCGTTTACATTGAGCCCTTATGCTGGGAGGTGCACGCAGTTCATATGCCAGGCTCTCCCAGTTCTTAATAACAGGGTTATAAGGGTTTAACATTAAAGCGACTTTTTCAATCAAGCTTGTATTCTCTAATAAACCTGAAACTAAAGCAAATATACTGTGTAGGTAGAGTCTATATTACTATCATGGTAGAGAATAATTCACACCATTGCTCTAACATTCTTTTCACCAAACGTCATTATTAGATCAACAGCCGTACTATCAGCTGTAGTATCAATTCTGTATGCTTTTTCATATATTTCCTGGACATTTCCATTTGTATTTTCTTCTGCGGACAGAAATGTKAAACTTCCTTTCAACAAAGACAACAGGATTTAATATTTACCTAGAGGTTCTTCAGATGKTGYYGCTTCCTCTTGAGCATGRATTTGTTGTTCATTSTCTTCATCTTCTCCTCCTCCAACAGCACCCAAACCTTCATTCACTTGCCCACTATGTCCTGAAGGCTCAACGATTTGTCTCTCCTGGTTTTGTAAATCTTCATRTCKTTGTTGAAGTCCACTTGTTGAGCTRCTTTGAGGTACTGAGTTTTCTCTCTGTATTGCTTGCGTGTGGTTGTCATCTATTGACATTTGATTCAGTAAATCAGCTGAGTCTTGTACTCCTCTTGAGATTGATGGCTCATTGCTTGCTTCTGCACTTGATAAGTSTGCATTGGAACACTGYCCATCGACAYGKCCACCTTAAAAYAATATAAATTAKAGTTAAAGAGAATGGCTACTTGGTGYTTGATAATTAAAAACTATAACATTTCAGTGAAAGATACACAAGGAAGACAATATTATTACACAAGTGTGAAAATCAACAAATGAAAAAGTAACAAAAGAAAATCAAATCCTTCTGTTCTGCTTTCTTCACCACTTGTGTCCTCTTTGACATCTTTGCTCACATCACAAATAATAAATGGCCGAAGTGTAGATATAGATAATCCTTACTTTGTGGTAATGCTGCTGCCCCTGYAATACCAGATTGTCCAGGGGGTACCACAGTGCATCTTGTATCTGGCTTTTTTGGTAAAGAAGGGTAATTGACATCACCAACTGTGTTACTAGCACCSTCTTGTCTGCATTGTGTTGATATATTCTTTAAGCCATCAGCTTGTTGTTCATTGGTTAGCTGTCCATGTGGTTTTAATTCTCGCTTGTCTCTKCCTGGGTTGTTATGCTGTTGTTCATGTTTTAAGGAGACATTTTTACTAGCACTATGAGAACTTGAACCATTAGATGCTTCCTCTTTCTTCACTATAAATGTAATAATATAAATAAAAAGAATGTAAAACTTCATTTTTGTATGGTATGTGCATATGTCACATAATTAAACACTCAGCTCTACTTTGGTGCTTGCCATATTTCACAACATCAAACATGATATTTCATAATGACAAGAAGATAAGGGGAGATGTCAAGAAAAATATTTTGGTTATCCACTAACTGAAAAGGTAGGCTGACACTCATCGACACAGGGATAACACTGGCAGCATTCAAGTCAGTTTACAAAAAATTCCCAATGTTAGTCGCTATTAGTTACGACAAGTTCCTTTTTTTCTGCACTGAGTTCATCCATCACCACAACACCTGGAACTGTGTCAACTCTTAAGTTCATTAGTGGTGTGGGGACAGATGGCACTGCTAGCTTTAATATACTTCCAGAGAAGGCACTGCCCTAAGTGCACATGGTTCATTCTGCTGAATTTCACACATCGTGTATCATGCATCTATTACGTTATGATAGCTGTGACAACACTAAGGTTACCCCTGACACTCTCATAGGAAATTCATAAATTGTATACTAGCATTTTTTAGCAATGAATAACGCAAAGGGGAACTTTATTTCTCCCTCGTGTTCAAAAGAATGTGCTTCATAAGCAGGAACCAAAGCTTTGTTAATTTCGCTTTGCACAAACCTCGGTTTTTCTTGGATTCTTTCTTTTTTAACATGGATAACATTTTTCCAGCATCTTAATGAAACCTAGCGGCCATCTGGGCCTATAAACTCAGAAAAACAAGGCTAGCAACAGTGTGCTCCCTTGCAAGCGGCAGTCGTCTACGAAAAGCGGAAGTAGAATTCGCTCCAGGTCACCTATTCCACAGGAACTCCAATATTTCCAAAAATAAAAAATAATGTATTTCAAAGTATTTACAAGCATTAAATGTATTAAAAGAAGCCAATTAGTCATGGAAAAGTAATTTTAAGTAACATTTTTACTTGTAGTACCATCAATCTCTACGAATTTATAACATTCACTTCACTCAACAAACTGGGATACCTGTGTTGTCTGAGAAGGATTGTGGGTAAATTTGAAAAAGTGCTGTGATGCAAATTTTTTCTGGAAGTTGTTTTGAATCMACAAAMCGAGGAAAAGGTTTGGCATTTAATCTCAGWAAACTTTGTTTGTTATTTAGATCTCATGTAGTACTCTTAATTACACTATGTAGATCATCATTTGTCTTGTTTACACTTAAATATGAAAGATCTGAAGAGACATATCCTCCATGGTCATTATCCTAGCCCATTTCTCACAGTCTCTGCATTTAACGCTTAATGCCTTGATTAATATTTCTTCCGTGAAAGAATAAAGGTTAACGAAAGCTCCATGTACTTATAGTAGTGTTGTTATTTCTCTTGTAAATTGTCAAAAGTGTTATGAACAAATGTTATTCTGCTGGCTTTTTGTACAAAAACTCAAAATATGAAAACACTGCTCTAGCTAGATGGGCTTAGACGGGATAAAAAATTGAGTAATCGTTTGTTTTTAGATAATGTAACATCAATAGAGCAAAGTCAGAATGACAACGATTCACCCAGAACCCAGTGAACAAACAGAAGTCGGAAATACCAAGAAAAACATTGCTGTTGTCCACCCTCTGCTAAGGCAGACTGGCCAAACCAATGATAACACTGACAACATCCATAATGGCGTTCCTGAGTCAAACTACAAAAAAGTGTCATTTAAAGGTAAATAGCTGGTTATTTCATGTAAACGTCTATATGTACAATAACATGATTGTGTACTGTAGATGATAGTCTTTTTGTGTATTTTTTACTCATGTTGGTCATGTTTCTTCTTTGCAGACTTGCCACTAGTAGACCTACTGACTYATAATGATCCATTAATGGTWAAAATCTCTCAGATGTTRAATCGTCGAAACARCAGAGTGATCCGTAATTGGAAGCATCTTGCTCAAGCAATTGGCGTACCTTCAGATATTAGTTTGTCATTTGACTGTGATACAGAGCAAAGTCCAACAGAGGATCTTTTTGATCATCTGATTACTTGGGAGCCAGATATGACTTTTAAAAAATTGAAGGAGATACTACGTAGTGCTGGTAGAAATGACCTGATTCTAATGCTTGAAAAAGGTGTGAAGAAACCTTGAGAGGAGATTACTTAAWCCCTTGGGACTTAMCRAAGTGTTGGTAGTAATTTGAATGACAATTGGKTTGGTTTTAATAAAAAGTGCATTTTTMTTTCTTTCAGAAAATTACAAGGATTTGTGGAAAGTATCTGACAATAAGGACTTTATAGATTTGTTTAAAGACAAACTAGACAYACCAAAAAGGCATATGGATTGGAGAGCATTGGCAAGCAAATGTAAAATCCCAAGAAAAACCTTTGAGAAGTTTGGAAAACCAAAGCTTGGCCCAACTGAACACTTGTTTATCCATGTAAGGGTTTCGAAGCATTTTGAGTCTTTCAGTGTTAAAGAATTGAAAGGATATCTTGAAAAAATGAACCGTTTTGATGTCTTAAAAGCAATCGAAAGACACAAAATACCAGGTAATCCCAAAAGCTAAAATATTAAAAGTTTGGTTAATATCATGAAGCTGCCTTTTTTTATGCTTGACTCCAAGGTCTTAGATATTTCCAGAAAGTACTGAGGTACACTCACGCCAAGTGATTTATTGTACTCTAAGTTGTTTCCATCGGCTTTGAAATTGAGGGTGGTGCAGTTGCCTCAGTAGCAATTCAATGRGGAAAGCAGCATCAGGAAGCAACTGAAGCCAACTTTAATTTAAAATGTTTTATTAAACTGAATAATGAATGACTAATCTATTCCAAAAACATCTGTTATTCCAGATAACGCTTTGGTCAAAGATAAATTYAMATCCCAAACACCAATTATGGAGGAAGTTAGTGACCTGCTTGACAAAGATGGGCCTATGAAAAACTGGAAAAACCTGTCATACCTGATGGGTATTCCTGGGACTACTTATGAAGACTTTGACTCATCTAAAGGAACAAATAGAAATCCCACTGAGCTGTTATTCCAGTGGATCTTTACTAACAAGCCTGATTTTACTTTGGAGAAAATGGTGAAAGGTCTGCAGAGCATYGAGAGAAATGATGTTGTTCTTGAACTGACCAATGACATCAAACAGGGTAAGTCAGGTTCTACAGTATAAAATATGAGCGGGAGACCTTTATGGGCACTTAAAACTGCRAGCTGCAAGCGAGCAGTTTTATAGCCCATAAAGGTCTGACGCGAATATTCTATATTGCCTATCAAATTCCAACATAAGGTAAACCATATTTCGAAAAAAAACTTCAGGATAAAATATCATTTGTAAGAGAAAATCGAAGTTAAAGTCGTATGCAAATTAGGTCAAGGACAAATCTCTTGCTCATATAAAGATGCGGTCACGGCAATGATTTTTCATTGTGTTTACATTTTGTTTTCATTGTGTTTTACACTTTTAAGGGGTATAGGGTGGTGTCTCAGAAATGGTGCCAAAAATTTCCCAAGATTTGCAAGCTTAAAGATTTAAATTGATTTGAATTAGATTTGATTTGAATTAGATTTGCAAGCTTAAAGATTTAAATTTGCTTTTGGTTCAGAAGTTTGCAATTGACAAAATATTGGACTTGTTCAGCCAAAGGCTGGGGCTTGGATTTTAAAAAGAGGGCTCGCAGACTCGGCGAGGCTCGGATTTTACCATTTGATACCCCTACTTTTAGCTACATGTAAGTTCAGGTTCATGTACCATAGCAGTCATGGTATAATACTAACATAATTATCTATTTCCTTTTTGCAGCCCTTAAAGAAGGAAGACTTCAAATCAGTCATTCAGAAGAAAATATGGATTCTGTTATCTCACAAAATCCCAATAATCTGAAATCTTCTGATGAAGACAGCAAGCTTTTACAAAACTTAGATCATCTCRCAAAACAGGAAAGAAATGCTTTACGTGTAACTAATTTGCCAAAAGGCTTKTACACAAAAATATGTAATTTGTTGGATGTTAAAGAACCCTTCTATAGGGACTATCGTTGSTTTGCTGAAGAACTTGGTATAGATAAACCTAAGATTAATGCATATGAACAAAAGGAGTCACCAACTCATAGCATTTTGCTGGAATATAAAGTAACTATTGATAACTTTGTAAAGATCATTAAGAGTATTGAGAGAGAAGATGTAGCTGAAGAAGTAGAAGCATGGTTGAATGAGTCTCCCAGCAGCTAAATCAAAATTTTAAGTAGAGTAGTTTTCAATTTAAAGTGCTAGCAAACTACCTCATGAATATTGTGTTGGGATCCCTGAGGGAACACAGGGATCCTGACATAAAAACGGCTTCAAAGAGACATAGATTTGTTCTAACTTCCATCAAAAGACAGCCTACAAGTATTTGTACCTTTGATGATAGTTAATAAAACTTGCCTTTATATATATATATATATCTTATATCAAATATTGTTGAAAACAATATTGTTAGTGATTTCAAACAAACACAATATGTACTATTGATAAGAATCGTTCCATTAAACTTAAACAACATGTGTTTCATATTTGATGATCAACGAAAACCCAAGCGTGTCAATGTTGTGCAATATTTTCTCTGCTGTGGCTTGTTTGAATACATTCTGTTAGCAAAAAATAGGCTGAGTAATAAAAGAGCTAATAACTGATTTGTTGTTAAGTGTTTCTGACAGTGGGTCTGGCTGCAATCATTTTCTTTCCAGAATGGTTGGGATTCCTTTGGATTGTTTTGAGCCCTGCACAGTACTGGTCAGCAGACAAATATGGCTGACACTGAAGGTAACTGACAGTTGTTTGTCGTGATTTTGGCATTATTTATGCTTAGATATGTTATGAAATTGGAATTTTTAGAGTCTTCATCTACTAAAGAAAACGTTAAGTTTGAATTTGTGGAGCCTAAACGGAAAATTCTACAACCAGCAGACCTCCGGCGATGGCAAATGTCCCAGGTATGATGTCTGCATATCCTCGAGATTGCAGCGAATTTAATAATAGACTTGAAGTGCTATTGTCAAACTGCAGGGATGCCAACTCTCCCGGATAATCCGGGAGTCTCAAGATTTTCGACCGTTTCTCCCGGTCTCAAGATTTTACCGCTAAATCTCCCGGATAATGACGATTCATATATCAGTTTTTTGAAATATCTCTTTTCATCTATTAAAACTCAAATTACCTTGCATATCATTTTAGTTCTGAAAAAATACAAAAATCCCAGTCTTCTGATAACAATAGCACTGCACGCCATCCGCGGCCATTTTCAATTCCACAATACAATCTATAATACGATTGGTTAAGATACATCCAATCAAATCATTAGTTATAACGAAATTTGATAAATGCGATGACGTCATCGATAATGTTATGAAACGTMATTTCCGGTATGACGTCATCATTTTCGTTCTCAAGATTTGAAAAGTTCGGGGGTTGGCATCCCTGAAACTGTGAAGCAAATGGAGTGCAATATATTATTTATTGCTGGATGAAAATGGCGGAATAGTTTAAACATTTATTTGAGGGTCTTATTTTAAATTGTGTTTTGATTTGCCACAGGGATACCATGACCTTTTGGGAATGATAACCTTATTTGGAGAGGCGGTAAAAGGCAAAAAACTCTCAGACGAAAAGCAACCTTCTGAGGTATTGACACTTGCTTCTCTTTGCAAAATGCATATGATATAGCAAAAGGCAGTTTTTTTTCGGAAGCTTACTTTTTGAGTATTTGGATTTTCTAGGCATGCCAGAAAGTTTTGGACATTCTTGAATGCTTGAATAAATGGATAGATGAAATTCCTCCCACAGATCAACCACAGAGGTTTGGAAACAAGGCATATCGTGACTGGTTTGACAGAATGGCTGAGGTAATTTCAATTGAAGAAAGAAAATATGAATCATCAAGTAAAGTATAATAATTTGAAAAAATGTACATAGGTATAAAACTTTGTGAAAAGATGTGCATGCATGCTTTTATTTACAAGACATAAGACTAAAATGGGAATGTAAGTTATGTCTTGTCAAATAAATGAATGGTGTGTCAGGTTTCCCTTCTCCGGTCAAGTATATATCAGATGAAAAGGACACAAACAGTTTTATGAGCACAGAGTGACAAACTGCTGCCTTTGAATTCTGATGTAAAGTCAGTCACCAGACCATGAGATTGTTTTGAGTTCTGAAGCATGCTGTGATACTTGTAAGAAAAAGGTGAGAGAAGTGATGAGCAAAACCAGCATGAAAGACAGTWAAGTGCCATTTTGCACTTAATCCTTAGCCAAGTGCATTATAATGTTATAACTGATGATGATGTATAAAGAAGACAACGTTTTGTAAAATGAAAAMTGAAACATCTGTGTTTGACAAGTGCACTCTTGTATATTCATTGAGATTTTAAAAAATATTCTTTTCATATACATTATAATTAATRTTAATCCAATTTTTAGAATGTAAAATCAATGATTGATGGAATTCTTCCTGTTGATCTACAAGGAGCATCAATTGAGTTGGAGGCATATCTTAAAGGTAAAATAAATCTACTTTGCACTAACATGCACAAAAAACTGTTTGTTTCAAAATATATAACTGTTCAAAACCCTACCTGCACATTGTTYCATTTATTTTTCATTTTTTAGATAGTTTTGGAAATCGAACTAGGATAGATTATGGGACAGGCAAGTTTAAWATCATTGAGAACTTATTTTAATYACCAACTACAGRTAATTTCTCTGTTACTAACATGTTTGTAWTTAATGTAGGTCATGAATTAGCATTTGCTTTTTTTCTTTGCTGCCTATTCAAACTTCGAGTGTTTACAGACYTTGACAAAGAAGTTGTTGTCTTAAAGATTTTTTTCAGGTTAGATTTCCCTTTTGTATTGCATATACTCAAAGTTTTACTTTCTTTTATTTACTAAATATACAATGAGAATAGAATTTATGATTTAAGCTTATTAAAAATTATTTAAGGATGTAAACAAAATACTGTCTGATGAGTGCGTAGCACGAAACTCGGAGTAACAGCAAAATCTTGCCTCTTTGATATTATATATATAAGGATGTAAACATCAATACAGTTAATTGTTATTCTTTTAATAGATATTTGCAGTTAATGCAGTTATTACAGACCACATATAGAATGGAGCCAGCTGGCAGTCATGGAGTTTGGGGTTTGGATGACTATCAATTTATCCCTTTCATATGGGGAAGTGCTCAACTTATTGGTCAGTGAACTCAGAACAGTTTATTTGCATTCATGAAGTAAATTTGCTGTTTTTAGAGACATTACTCAGTAAAGCAGTATTAAGAAAATATCTATTTAGAATTAACTAGTTAATGCTTGCAATATTTGAGTAATAATATGGCAAATGCAGCCAGTTACTGATGTTAGATGGTAAAGCGAAAGCTCGACTTCATATTAAGTATCTGGCCTCATTTGCAATAATATTAYTCCTACTAACATGCTGCTGAAGGATGACTTCTCTAGATTGCAATATTTGAATTTCTGCTTTTCAGGTCACCCAGACATCAGTCCAATGTCATTTTTAAATCAAGATATAATCAACACTTATCACAAAGATTATATGTTTATTGATTGTATAAGATTCATAAACACAGTAAGTTCATTCTCATACCCAGACCCTCCTCAGCTTCTTTTGATTTTCYRTTAGGAAGCTGAGGAGKGTCTGGGTATGAGAATGCAGTAAGTTAAAATTAATAAACRYCAAGAGAGTGTGTTTTATGAACATATAAAGTGATTGTTTTATTGGCATTTGAATTGGCATATGATAGCATCTAACCAAATTTCACGCTAAATCATATTTATAGATAATGATGAATAAAACATAAGTTCTGTAACACTAATAAAGTACTAGCAAAGATATCTATGATTTTAACATCAATGGACCACTCATGCATTTACATAATTATTTAATTATGGATTATTTGAAAATAAAGTCAACATAGCTTCCACAATTAGCACAAAAAAACTATAGTAAGTTAATCTCTGTTAMAAATGTATTTCCATATTTCCCATTAAGGTAAAAACAGGACCATTTGCAGAGCACTCAAATACTCTGTGGGGGATTAGCAATGTTCCCAATTGGACAAAAGTCAACAAAGGCCTCATAAAGATGTATGAAAAAGAGGTACACATTAACAAGTTTCAAAAAAATGTCTAAAGTCTTGGTTCCTCTGTCACTTGAATCCTGTATTTTGATGGATTTTTAGGCTCTTATATATGCAATAACAACCTTCATAATTCACACTCATCTCTTTCTTTTTTAGGTCCTGGCAAAGTTTCCTATAGTCCAACATGTTGTTTTTGGTAACCTTATATCAGTAGAGCCAGTCGCTCGCTTTAAAAAGCCACTTTAGAAGTTRAAAATATAATTTATTATGTTGATATCTATATAAAACTCCTGAAAGATACAATGTGCACACAGGCATGGGTCAGTGTGTAGGGCTGTGTATAGAGGGTAGTTCTAGCCAGAACCCCTCTTCCTTTACAAATCAAGTCTTTGAAATAGACTTATTAGCCAAATCAAAAGGCCAGCATCCAATAGTCCAACAGTCCATTTTTACTTGGTAGTTGTTCTCTCTCCTCATGGCAAACCAATCAAAATAATAAGATAACAGCCTCTTTTTTCAAGATATATACTGTAAGTTAAAAGTATGTTTTATTAGAAAAGAATCTGCTCTTGAAAAGAAAAACTAAACTCAGTACAGTCTGTCATAGTAATCAAGATCAAATGCATAATTTCAAAGTGTAAAATAATTCTATAATACAAAGTAAATTATCATTGATATGTGTGCTATACGAATACAACACATTAGGTAATAAGTATTATAACCATTGTCAGACATGTTTTGACATAACATCCACCATCACAGGGCAGATGTTATGATGAAACATGTTTAACAATAAATAACCTTTGAATTTTTTTTTTTTTTTTTTTTTTTTTTTTTGTATGTTTAATTTTCTATGTGTTTGTTTTGTCATTTTCTGTGTTGAATACAGCTTGACATCCAGTAAAAACCAAGTGGGAGAAATAATACCAGATGCTCTTTGTGGTATGTTGACCACCCATCCACCTTGGTTTCCTGCTAACAGTCTTTAGCATCTGTTAATAATTTTGTAAGAAATATCTTTGATCAGCTCTTGACGGTTTTCTGGTACAATTTTCTCCAGATAGTTTTCCTCCTTGCTAAGAATTTACATTTTAGCAGGTTCGTTTTKGGGTGGGAAAAGTTGTTGAATACCTTTCATATTTCTTGGCATGTTGTATAATAGGTTCAAAGTTTCTACATTGTAGCATATATATTATAAAAATGCCAGCAATTCTTAAGTGTGGTAAGCCAAATAAGGCGTTAYGGTATGTGAGTTTGCCCTGCTATCAAAAGACTATGACGTCAAACAGCAYATCTCGTAAGTTTCCGTTTTGTTTTGTCGACAAATCCGTTGGTATCGTACAATTTCCTGACTCACCTAGTGATCAATACAAAGACATRTTGTAGTATTTTGAACTTTTTATTTGTTGATAATCATATACATTTAGAATTTTTTGAAATATTACTTTCACTAAAGTATTTACAAGCTTTCGGGATATAAACGTTTCGACCATGGTATCAAAATTTCACAAAACTTTACGAAACAAGATTCTTTTTTTTATAAAATATACAATCTCTTTCAAATATCCTTTTTGTTCGCTTGTTGAAGTTGGGCTTTTGTCGTRAAAAWCTAATGAGGACAGGTTATAACAATGGGTTCGTCTGCCATGCATGTCCACCATYATAATATTCTMAGAAGTAAAGTTTACTTGTTGCGTAATAACGGCTACTTCCAGGATATAACGAACAAGCCACAACATACCACAGCTGTAATCTTTCTCAGACATKACACGTTCAGTATCTGTTCATCAGAGTACTTGTTTCTTGTTTTCTGTTCAGAAKGCTGCTACAGTATGCTGCCATTTCGGCAAGCTATAGCCACTGTTCACAGGAGAGTTTATACATGAAAATATAAACGTTTCACTCGACGTAGAATTCGTAGAAAATCCCGAAAGTCCGCTTAAACTAGTACTAAATACATTAACAAGAACCGATACATCCATAGGCTCAATATTCTCGCTGTCTTTTGAGTTCTTTTCCATTGTTCGGCACCTTTTTCGGGTGACCGCGTGCTTTTCACAAGGTTCATTTACATATTGGGACCGAGGGCGTTTTAACCCAACGGTGACRGACTTTACAGTCGATTCCTTGTTCGATGATAAAGAGTTTGGTGAACTATTCGTTGCTRACGTTTTATTATCCCTTTCTTTAGTAGTTGTTGTATTTATGACTTGATTTTCGATAACTGTTCTTTCACAAAGTACTTTGCTATCTRGCACGTTATTATTTGACGTATTTCTGAACTCATGTGAATTTCCTGATCCACCCGCGTCGTCACGCAACGAATTCGGTCGATCGACACACATTGTCTCTTGTTCAAGTCCATCACAGTCCAAATCAAGCTCTTTCGGTGTTCTGTAGTTTCTGTAAGATGTTTCTGAAGTCGTTATTGCACTGTTTAGAATATTAGAAACGAGCAAACTTCGTCTCAACAACGGTCCACCACGACGACGTCGACAGTCTGATATTTTAGTTAAAGAAACTTGAATAATTCTTTCTGTTTCTCTCTCCATTTTTTAACACAAATGTTCCCAAAGTTTCTTCTTAAGAGAATGTGTATAAATCTTTCCTTCTTGTGCTGTATAGAAGTTTATTTTGATTGTTTAAARCGATATACCACTCTTTCGAATTCAACGTCTTTCAATGAATGGCCGAGTTACGTTGACGCCGAAAGGTAATATGAAATTTACTTTGTGCTCGAATCAGCCAATCATATTTCATTGACGTCACTAAGAACCAATGAGCGAGCGAGTTAGATTTAGACTGGAAAATTCCCGCGTGCTGTAGATTACTTGTACTTTCAGCGATCAACCAATCAGCGGGTACCGGAACTAAAACATGACGTAATTTAACCAAAATGGGAGTGTTTTGACGGGCCGTTGCTTGGAGACGATCGTTTTGGCGGGAGATAATCGTGCTTGATATTCARCTTACATGCCGAATGTGTGCGTCATCACGGAACTATAAACAAAGGTAATAACAGATCGAAAATCCTTCATGCACGTCAGGAAAACTTTAAATCAATACGGCTAGCTGAACAAGAACGCATTTACAAGTCTATACGCATACAATTCTCGATAGTTTCGGTTTTTATTGATTACGAATGAAAAAGCAAGGAARGCAAATTYTGATCAGCTGTATTTTTGAGCCGTGACGTGGCTCTCGTGACTCACACACCATAATAATGGACTATGACTCGATTACATAATATTCATTTTTTATTCCCTCTGCAAAAGTTATYATATCATTAAATTATTAAAAAATACTCCAAATAAAATGATGCCTTATTTTATTCTTTTATGGTTCAAAAATATATCGATATTAAAGATATTCTTTATGTTGGTACACGCATTTGTTAAAACGTAACGTCACGACCTTATGATCAATCAGTGCCCTCGGGTCACAAGGTGGGTACAAAACTATTTTAAGCCTGCTTTGAAAGACCGATATTTCACGAAATCAGCAAGAAAATTGCATTACTCATTCTAATCCATCAAATACGTTCGGAGTTTTTAGTTTATTTTAAATCATTTGAATTCCAAACTGTATTTTTAGGATCCGTTAACATTTTTTAAAGGCGTCAAAAATTAATTTCAACAACCGCAATGTCAAAACAGCCAGTTCATCAGTTTTCTCACATATTTTCCGATCTTGCACGAACTTGGGACTATAGTCAGCTCATGGATTAATGGATAAATAAATTACAAGCTTTCACCATTTATATCATATTACAAATAAAAGCTTTGATTCCAAAAAGTTCTCCAGCCTTTTATAACATGTTTGCCTTGGCGTCCTCTGTCCAAGTTCGAGATTTTTTGACGGAGGGAATGCCCACGCCTCCCTTCCTCTGAGGGTCAAACGGAAGGGTTTGTAATGTACGAGGTATTGTTGTTTGGTTAGCCGATTATAAATCCGTGTCATCAAGTTCAACTTTGATGTTATCGCCCCGGTTATCATGCTAATATCATCTCGGATATAAAGAGGTTTAGTTAGAGACGAGAAAAGTAAAAACACCAGAAATCGAAATTATTGAAAACAGGATTTATTATTTAGACTATTTACAATATGACAATGATCATGCATAATTAATTATCGTCTACCGCATAAAGATAGTGGGATAGACACTGATATGATGTGCATTATTAACTTGATTATTAAAGTTTTTTTTAATCTATAAATATTAAAAGATATTAAATATTGATTTTACTTAGACACTGTCTAATCAAAAGCCCAAAATGTAGAAGGCTTTCCCTCTGAATCTCTCATTCTTTTTGCAAATGCTGTAAAACTGGAAACACAATTTCCAATAAAATGGTCTGCGCTGGACAGGATAGCCAAGTCTACAATTGGGTCGGTTATTTCATCCTCTTCATTTCGACGGTGGACAGTAACCTACATAAAGGAACRCACCATTACTGCATTTATTTTTCATTGAACAGTTTTCTCTCCAAAGAAATTCATTATTCAAATGTTATAGAATAATCAGAAATAATTGCTAGAAAAACACCAATAGGATAAGTTACAAACCATCTATTTTATATYCTCTAATTTATTGGTCATGATATTCTTAGCTGTAATAAAGGCTTACACAATCATAGATTGCTTCTGGAACTGGGAGAGTTTTCTTAAAAAGAACAAGGGAGAGGAAAATACAGGGGCGGATTTAGGGGGGGCCGAGGGGGCCACGGCCCCCCCTTTACCGATGAAAATGCTGGAAATCGCATCTCTGACGGTCTCAAATTTCAAAATTTCCCGGCGCTCAATTGGACACAAGACACATCCGGCCCCCTCTTTTCAAAAATCCTAAATCCGCCCCTGAAATAGAAAGGGAGGGGTCTGTTGTTTCCTATGTCACCACCTCATCAGCTCTTCCTTTACTTCTAACAAAACAATAAGTATGTGACCACATACAAAACAATGAGATTACCTTCTGCTTTCTTAGAGCGTTTGAAAGCTTAGAAAGCAAAGGATTGTCATCTGTAGCTACAAAAACACTTTTAGCTTTGACTTTTTTCACCRTCTTCTTGACTTGTTTTATTATTTCACTTTCACTTGGAAAGCACATTTCATAAGTGAGTTTTCTTGACGAACCATGGTCAATACACTGAGTGGATGCAAATAGAGTATTGCTGTCCTTGACATGTTCACAAGCCCCTTTCTGAAAACAAAATAAACAATGAATTTTTAATAATAAAATTTAAAAGCAATCATGATCCTATATATTTATACTTATTATCATTCATTTTGTATCACTTGATAATAAAGTCAATGACCCTGAAACGTTGTGAATTAAATCAACTACTTAATATACGTATCGTTTCTTTAAATTTTATTATTTCATGTTTTTCCACACAACTGCTTATCAATGAATTTTCATAATCATCAACGATGTTGTTGTGGTTTTCAATTTGAAGTGCATGATTTATTTCATGCTATAAATAAAGTTTATTGAAGAAAACTTACAAAGTCTATTCCATTTCTAAGATGAATGCCAACAAATGGTCCCTTAGGAAGCACATTTTGAATRAATTTATCAGCTTTTTTTCTTATGYTGTCTGACCACTTGACAAACTTTTGAATCCATCTATTCTTTGTTTCACAAGGAAAAGAGCCAGGTGCTCCCATGAATGCAAGGACAGGGTTGGCTTCTACTGGAAATCTGTATAATGGATGGATGAATGATTATAATAAAGCCAAATTGGTGTGTTTATTAAGTATACTGATGTAGTGTCGAGCTACCATAGTAATGAACGCCTGCTGTATTATAACCAAACCAGCTACCCCAGCATAGTTTCAAAGCCTTTGATGGCATTATTGCTCAATGTACAATATTATGATTCTCAAGGCTTTCAAACATGGCAAACATAATACTATAAAAAAACAATGCTTGGTAAATTTCCAGACCTGTTCTGCCATTCATCTCTTGTCCAGGAATCATCTGAATCCCAAAGCAAGCCAGAATGTTCCCGATAGTCATCAAAATTGATATTAAAATGATCCCAGAAAGGACCAAATGGATTTCCTTCTTTCATCGCACACCCTTTYCCTCCTCTAAAAGTATAACAAAACCCTACAAAAGCACAATATAGGTGTTAGTTTGAAGGAGACAATAACATGTAAAGTGGATAAAAAACTATAAAAAATGTATTATTGTATGAGGAAGTAGCTGATCCCATTAAAGAGTGCTCAATACACATAAAGTGTAGAGCTAGTTATATATATATAATATCAAAGAGGTAAGATTTTGCTGTAACTCCGAGTTTCGTGCTCGGAGTTACAGCAAAATCTTGCCTCTTTGATATTATATATATAAAAAATGTATTATAAATTCTAATCACCTATTCGTTTTCCAGGAGGCCAAACAGTTGGGGCAATGTCCTTCATGAATGTGTCCATAGAAACAACTCTATGATATTCTTGTAAAGGTTTAACTTGAAACCAAGAAGAAAAAGGAATTCTCATCTGATAAAACACAAGAAAATGAAAAATATGTAAGTTTCTAAATCAATAACAGTACTATATAATATGACTTAGTTATGCAGTGTCTTAGATTATGAACAATTGTCTACTAGCACCTACCCCCCATAAGTATTCATATGGTCATACTTACTGAACCACCTGGTCTGTTATTTGGATAAACAATCCATGGTGGTAGAACTAAAGTCCTATTCAATCCTTTAGCAAATGCCAATGAACCAACAAACTGGTCTGCCTGGTTTCCRAACCTTCCTGGAAATTATTCATGATACAATAAATATGATGTGCTGATGACCATCTAGAGCTGATCACAAGCACGGCAGGCTGCAATTACACATAATAATCTATATGTTGATAAGTGCATTTTATCATGGTAAGTTTGACAGTTTTTTATTTACCACCCATTCAATTCTACATCTTTTAGATATGYATGATTGATAGACTGTTGGCAAAACAATGCAGACCTCTCCATCTTCAAGGAATGCATTATTTTCTAAGAAATGATATTTCACTAAAATTTGACATGTCATGGAGAGGCTCTTGGCAGGCTAGCAYATCTTGATAGACAATCATTCATCTCAAATTTAAATTGCACTSTCAACTTTTATCAGTTGTTTTAATTTGGCAATGTTTAAAAACATTCAATAATTCATAATCATTGATATTTGTAAGTAAACAACAARTAGTGCCTGCCTGCTTCTTATAAAAACATATCATTAATTTTCGTAGAAATGATTAAAAATCGTCATTTACACAACAATAATTAAGCTTAAATCAATAAATATTTTAAACATTGGGAACACAAATAGAGCTATTTAAACTCGCCTACGCTAAAGCTTACAAAATTCACGCATCGTTTAACTTGAATACATTTCAAARCAAAACACAAAACATCAATATAATCGCCGCACTTACCCATACACGGGCAATACATAACATAACCTTCCTGATTTTGAGATATTTTCTTTGAATCTGTTGATGTGGCGGCTTTTACTTGCACCGGCTTTTGTCCTTCTCCAACACCAAAAGCAACTTCTTCGTCTGATAAAAACTCCCCTAATTCATCGGCCGAGCTAAATATCGCTACAAAAGTAATAAGCTGTAACATCGAGCACAGGACAAGGTACCTAACTAGCGAAAACTGACTTATGTACATGATTACTAACATAGAAAAACGAATCTTTACAAAAAACAGTTCGTACAAACGTGTCTCAAGCAAAAAAAAAAACAAAGGTGCGATTTAAATGGGCAGCGGTAAATTCCACAGGAAACCCAACAGCAGGGAAAGACATGTGCGCAAATAACTATAAGTGTGTGAACAACACGAAAAAAAAACACTAACTATCGAACAAACTTGAAAAAATTGAAAAGATTTTGGCACGAGAATAGCTTGAAGCTTTCGTAAATAAAACTAAATAAAGTGCTCAATGACACGATCGGTCAGAGTGAAATAGAAGAAGTATAAAACAAAATGCTGTGAATTCAGCTGTAAGCTGTCTTCTTGGTCCAAACGAAACTTTTTCGTCATGAAACATAAAATATCAATATATTATTTGTTTGATAATTTTTCATTCATATACAAAGTGTGACACAAAATCGCACTAATATCGAAAAAGATGTGGAAACTGATCTGTTCTTGCACATGTTCGTCAAACTATAATCTTGTGATAGCATCATGGCTAATAGACGGACTATAATGACTGTAATACACACGTATGGCACGCGATACTAACTATGACACGATCAACCATAACTTTAATTAAAATCAAAATGTTTAGATAAAGTATTGGGGACATCACAAGGATTGCGAAAAGACTTGGTGATTAATACAGGTCATTGTGAAGCCTGCAGGTTTAACGCTGGTTTTTTTGATCACCCGTGATATCTATGTGACAGACTAACTATATTCGGCTTCAATCGTTTCATTCTTTCACACAATACAAAAGAGCTCCACGTGGGGTTTAGGGATATCATTGTGATATCATTAGCTTATCTAGTAATGGGTCTCTAAGAGCCAACTCCTTGCTTTTAGTGATTGCCTAAGTTTATCAGCTATTGACGTAGTTAATCGCTTTTTAGAATTCGTGAATTTAACAAAGGAGAAGCTAAAAGAACCGTACAGTATCCACGTAGTAGTCGCTACTTTTTATGTGTCACATAATGTCATTCTTCGCTATCATAAAACGACAAATATTATAAGTATCACTCGTCACGATTGTAGTTTCCTTATATATTTTGATTGTTACCCACATCATGATTTCTTGTCGATTCTAACGAGGTCAGTAAAGCAGGCAAAAACGAACATAACATCATGGCGATGAGCAGAGGGTCACACCCTGATATACCAAATATTGTACAGCACTTTGTTGTSATGGTGTCTCGAGAATGAAACAATCATTATAGACATTTTATTCATTCAAAGCAATGGGAAGTCTTTTATCTGCTTTCTGAAAGTAAAACATACTAAGTGCTTCTTTCGCAGTGCAATTAAGCTATGGAAATGATCACGTGTAAAGTGATAGCAACGATTAGTGTCCGGCTAAGATGACTAAAGGCTGCAAAATGACGTCGATCGATAAGCATAATTCGAGGACTAGATTATCCTGCGACATTGGCCTTGCTGGACACAACTTTTAAACTAAACTAAAAGTTTTTGTATCCCAACATAGATGAGCTTTTATTGATGATCAAGGTTACGGTCAAAATCATCAAAAGCAATTGTGAGCAGACGGTATCGGGGAAGAGCTTAACTGCTATGTTTATATAAAATACTTTTTACAAATAGTATCGGCAGCAATCAGTGATGAGATATGTACCGACGCATATGATATATCTGTTTATAATATTGGATATTAGAAACATTACCTCATAGAATTGTATTGCGTTCCCTTTGCGCTTCGGTGTTCGTGAGAAAACATCCGTCAGTTCCGGATGTACACAGATGTATAATATGTACATACATTCCTATTGGAACTAAGTCGATTGTAACACTTGTTTTTGCTATTCTGGGCTGCTTTTAATCTGTTTACGTTAGTTTGAGAATTTTAAACTATAATTACGTGCTCTTTTTCAGTAAACAGTGTAATTGATCCTTGCTGAAGAGTGAAGTTGTCACGGACGGAACAGTGGATTTTTTTTTAATTGTTCCCACTGGAACTGCGAAATAGAAATATTACACATGACATTGATAAGAAATACATTTTAGCGGTGGGAAAAAACTCCTCACTAACATCATTTATTGCTTTCATGTTCTTTCTATCGTCCCATTCCTTTTAGTTTTTTTCCTGTTTCTTTTTCCCTTTCATTCATTTTCACTTTGTGTATTTTTAAATTGCTCCCATTACTCAGTTCCTATGATAAGACTTCGCAAACAAATAATGGAAACAGACAAATTAAACAAACAAACATGCAGTTAATTTCGGAAAGTACGGACGGACAGACACACGGACAGACAAACGGCGGRAAAGATACAGTAGTTACATTAAGGGACTGAGCAATATATATAGGACGGGGGTTGAGAAATGAGCCAAAAAAATCAAAAGTTAATTACCACTGTATCTGCCACCGTTGAGTTTTCAGTTTCCATTAAAGTTCTAGTTTATTTTAGACGTTGCCTCCCTCTTAAAGATCCCCCCCCTCCTGATAAATACTGCACACTCCCTTATAGTSAAACACTGCGACCGACCGAAATAGAAAATAATTACACTCGAAAAAAAGGACGAAAACGTCAAAAAAAGAAGCGATTATGATGATTATGGGTTTGCTAGTATAAGACACCGTTTCAAGGCCTRCTAAATGAGTACTCTAATCATTAATAAACGCTAGAGGTTATTTTAGGCCCTTTAGCTGATCTTTATTTCAGCAGGGAAGCGGCCCAGACCGCCTTTAAGYGTTCAAATTACTTTTAAAAGSCTTTTTTTCATCTCAGTGAAGAGTTATGATTTCAAAGTTTTGGATCAGTTATTTTCAATATCATCAATTAGAGCACATGTTATACGTAGTGTAAGTGTTCTTAACGACTTCGATTTGAATAATGGGTAACACACACTATCAAGGCAGGGCAAWACATACAAATATGTATAAATTCACTCAAGAGACCGCACAGAATGGTATGGGTTTTTTGTCTATAAATACACGCTCTCTTATCGAACGGCAGCGGTTGAAATGTGCTCTTTGATCTCATATTTTCATTTACTTTGATTTCCACGTGAAATGACGCCACAAACATCACAATGTCAATCTCTTGCAAGCTCATTCCATTATGGAACGCTATCCGCGACTCTATAATCAAGAGKTTTTTTTAATTACTCTGATAACATGACTATAAAGGCTAAATTGCGCTATGAAATTTTGATTCTACGTRATCTTTGCTTTAATTGTTTTAATGGTGTCTCATCGCTGACAGTAATGATTCTATAATTGGAGTGTTTTCATATCAAAATAGAACTATATCGCATTTGTAAAGAATTCTCAATACTGATCAATCATTGATTCAGAAGCAATATCCGTTAGTAAACTGTGATATTAAAACCATGCGTAGATACACCAACTATCTCAATAGAGACCGGAGTCAGAAGGGTGCTTGTTGGTGATGAGTTGTCTGGCTAACTGGTTGATTAGATGGTGCATAGTTGGTTGGGTGGTTTGTTGTTGGGTTGGAGAGTTGGTTGGTTAGTTTGTGCGTTGAGATAGGTGTTGTTTGTTTGTTTTAAATGTAGTTTTAAGTTAAATAACTACAATTATAGACCGGTCTATATCCWTGGGTATCGATACAAATTTTCGCAGCATACCGTGCTAGCAGGATACGATTATCACTCAATATCAATATCAAAATTATGATCAAAAATTCTCGTCAATTCGATCATCGAACATAGYCGAACACTAAGACAAAGTTCTGATAASATCCAATAAGACTGCTTCCTTCAGACCAGCAATGATAAGAGATTGGTTCCTAGGATTGATATATAGACATATCTTTTTCTCTTTCTGCCGTCGGCTTAATTGGATAATCAGCAKGAGTTGTTGTAATATTCCTCCTAAGGTTACGCGAATCCCTCAGTGAGAGGCACACCTAGCTACAAGGTGCGCCTCATCTTTGCAGCACGAGTGACAAAACCTACAAAATATCATGTTAGTTGTTGCAGCGGCCAAAAATACTAAAACTCATAAAAATCACAATATGCAGGAAAAAGGCCGTAAAAGCTTAAAGGAAACAGTAAATGATCATCTAATAGAAAATCAGTATCGCCATGAATATAACATAATCATTTTTTCTTGTATTCCGTGGTATGTTGTGTAGAGTGAGTAATTTTAAGGCCTGTTTCGTTGTCTGCGTAAAAAGCTCAACAGCAAGAGATCAAATCGTTATAATGCTTTCATGTCTACAAGAAGCAAATTCTTACGAGATAAGCTACGCTAAGCGGTTTGTATAGTAAGACTTCATTAGACGGCTTTTTCTCTCCCATTTTGCCGTAATAATGCTTTATGATCCTAAAGCAGTTCTCAACAATGAGCGGGTTATCAAGTCATAGCAATACAGACATTTTTATTTTGCATCATATCATTGGTATTGACCAGTATTTTAGCTATCTTTAAACAATCGTTCTTTTCGCATAACGTCATTTCTTACATAGGGTTTTTATTATCGCAATAAAATGGTTTATGTTAGAGTAACCATCGTAATGTTGACTGGCTGCAGTCAGRAATGGACTTGGTATCACATTAGCACGTACGCTGTTTTACATGCATCCTTACTGAGATAACAATGATGGCTTTTTAATAGCATTTTTGTCCTTAGTGGTATAGTTKTTGTCGTTATATTGGTAATGTTAACTACCYCGTTCCAAGGAGAAAAGCGCTGTTTTGTCTTTTCTGTATTTAAAAGCGGCGTCCGACAATAAACAAGTAATCTTCCAATATTGCGGCGGTTATGTCAYTGAGGACCTAATGGACCTATAAAAGCCATACCGCAGAAAAAAAGAGAAAAGTCATTAGTGTAATCCTTGATTTTTACTTTAAGGTACATAAACATGGTGTAAAATAGTATAAATACAGAAGAAAAGTGTTTAGAAGGGCCTTTTCAGTTCTTGTGCAATATTAATCAAGGTCTAATCTACATGAGTGGCGCAACTATAACGTAAAGCGATCGTGACGATATCCCTTCTTGACGATTAGGTCACGTGACTAGAAGCAAGAAGTTTTGGTCTTCAGACTGTTCGAAAATAAAAGCAATATATAAACATGTATAACGAATAAACAAACAAATCATAAACAAGTCATTTGACTTGACTGAAATGAAAGAAATTTATACATTTACTGAATTTTTCTCAAATGACGAAATCATAAACCGAGACTAAACGCACACGCGTTGATAGGGTATATAGTAAGATTAAGGCCTTTTCCTGTAGCTAAGTGAAGAAAAAGAAACTTTATATTTTATGTAATACAAAAGGATTAGCTCGACCAAAGCCTTGGCTATTATATCAATATTAGTATGTTAGTATACCGTCGTACAAGGACTGTGTCTGAGAAGTGTTGTACAATAATGTATTCTTATTCTTCGTTTGCAATATACGTCACAGCCGCCATCTTGGTTGAACTTCAACAAAGGATTTCTAATTAGTATCTATTGTTCATTCAACCAACATGGCCGCCGGTCTTTTATCTTTTGAATCTCATGGGAATGATTGAAAACGAGCAATAGTGAAGCAATGTCTCATTTCATGCCATTTTAAGCCTGACATACAGTAAAATACAAGCTTATAAACTGTAGTTGTTTCGTTGTATTTGTACCAAACATACCACAAACCAAGTCGCTAGATTTCCTTTTAATTAGCGGCTTTTTTGAAGTTGAAACTCCGCGAAAAACCTCCTTTCAGTTGTGCTTGTAATCTCTTCATATTTTTTGTTTTTTTTTTCCATAAACTAATTTATCAATTACAACGCCCATCATGAGACTAAAAAGAGCCCGGTATAGGCTAAAGATACATTTTTAATCCAATATTTTTCAACAGGACTTTCGTAGGAGTCAGCTTCCAATTACAAGTGAGCCAAAAATACTGAAAAAAATATCGTTCTCTCTCCTGTAAACATACAAAAAACAGTTCCATTAAATGAGCCCGAAGGCCTAGCGTGAATGTCGATCTTCTATGCACATTAACTGTAAGAGCCTTTGAACCATTGATCAAAAAAGACACCACCTGCGGCAAGATCACGTGAACAATGACGTCATTAGGAGTGGCCTATTAACGATAAGCAGTTCAAATTGTCAGTGATAGTGACTAGAACCAAGTATTGCTTGAAAACCTCAACAAAGTCAGACGTTGCCCTTACGTGCTCTATACTACTTTGAGCTCATAACTCCTTGCTCTCTGAAGAGAGCGTTATAAAAAGCAGACAGTGTTATTTAATATTTAAAGAATAGTATGAACTAACCAACGCAAAGAGAATAACAGTTCAGTCCAGGGGAGTGCGACACTCGACGATTAGTGAATGTAATTTTCCCAAACAAGGTGAGTAAGGAATGAGTCTTTATTTCAATTAAAGTCTGAGAAAAACGATTTATCGATTCATGTAAGTTGTCGCTGTTTTACACATTGTTTTTCGTGATGCTCTTTGCAGAGTTCTCAAAATAAAGCTACACTGATTTTTTTTTTTTATTTCCAGAAAATACACAAGATGGTGGGAACAACAAGATTAGTTGCTTTGACATTCCTTTTCTCACAAACAAGTGTGTATTGGATGATACATGCTGTTCCATGGAACGAGTCCAACATAGAACATTCCGTCTCGTGCAGCTCTTCAATCAACTCGTGTGGAGACAAGTCACGGTGTATTACAAAGTTGGAATCACAAAACGGTCAAACACAACCAAAATGTTACTGCGATCAACACTGCTCTACGTTGAATGACTGCTGTTTAGATTACGTCACTTCGTGTAGTTCTTCTAATCAAAGAAACACAAAATCAAGTCCTGATCCTCGCGCACTTCAACCGCGTAACTGGAAATGCTTTCAATTCAGCAAACTGCCAAGAACTCCGGGAATTTGGATGATTGCAAGCTGTCCTGCAAATTTTACCGATTTCAACAACACAAAACGCAAGTGCGAGGCTGTAGCGGATTTACCCGTTACGTCACAAGCTACGGATTTATTRAGTGACGTTCCGATATCGTCATGTACTGGTACTGATTGCGCTACGTTTAGAAACGTCCATTGCGCAAAATGTAATGGAATGTATAATCTGATGAACAAACCACTGTTCTGGGATATTACATGGCGTTGTAATATTCGACCGCCTCATTACCTAACACGTGATCAGAAGACTCGTTTTCTATTGGAAAACTGTCCAGATTACCAAGTGAAGCCGAACAAGAATAACAAAATAAGATACTGTTACCCTGTTGTGTCGAATTGCACGGTGAAAACCAACTATGGAAGCATAAATAACTCTAAGATTAACAATGATTGCGTCCAAGGTCCAGTAAGACTTATACATCGCATCAAAAACAATCAAATTAAACATTACAAGAATCCTAGTTGTCTCTTGTGCAATGGAGATTACCTCAACAACGCCTCGTGCGGACCAGCAGAATTTTCCATGCCAGTTTTCGAGCCGAAGTCGTTTGAGATGATTCTCCAGTTCCAGTCCATTCCGGGTATTATGCCGATCAGACCTGTCACTGTAATCAAACCGTTATGCGGTCAACATCAATTCTACGACGCGTCTCTCGAGGAATGTCGGGAAGGAATTCTACCAGATCCACTGCGATCTATAGTTGATACATTCCGAATAAAGGCGTGGTTGGCTCGTCGCGGTAGAAATCTCGGAAATGCTACGGGGGCTGTTTTAATGACTTCTATAGCGAAGAAAGTGGGCTTGTCTACAAAGGGACTAACGTTGGTTTCAAATGAAATAGATGAAAAATCCCGGGCAGTTACATTCGATGTTCAAACGGTTCCCGGCAACCAGGCTAATTCAAGCTCATCTATTCTTAGCTTAACACGATTGTTTGATTTTAAGAAACCTTTTAATATTTCGATTAATGGAAGCCGGATATGGGAAGTAATCAAAATAACTCATCGCAGGCTGACATGCTCCAAACCTGAGATCTACCCACCTTCCAACTTCACAAGAAATAACACTCACTTTAATATCAATAACAACACTRTAATCAACGCTGACGCAAGGGGCGTACATTTAATCACTCAAAATCATTCCAAATATGGTATTTCTATTGGTTCGCTATTCTTGTGTAAGTCATTCTACGCCACAGCTTGTGGACCAGGCCAAGTGCTTTTGCAGCTTCAATCAMGTGACTATTTAATACAGAACGAAACTTTGCTGTTTGTGGCAGCAAATACCCATTATGAGCCTAGTCAATTTCAGCTTCAAGGAAACAGTGCTTGGGTATGTACCAACTACTCAAACATCACACCCACTGAGCCCATAGTTCCTTGGATCAGCAAGTTTGGTAATGATCAAGTTCTTTGGTATTTTACAGTATGTGGTTTGTCGTTGTCAATCTTGTGCTTATTCGTTCTTCTTGTCACTTATTTTACTTTCAAAGAACTACGAACCATGCCTGGCAAGAACCTGATGAGTCTCGCAATCTCGCTGTTGCTTTGCCATTTCATTTGGCTTCTGGGGTCTGGGGATACCGATAAGCCGGTGTTCTGTAGAGTGACGGCGGTGTTTCTTCACTATTTATTCCTCGTTTCSTTYGCTTGTACTTCAGTCATAGCGTACGACACTAGRCGAGCCTTCCCCAAGAACAGTGCAGAYATGCCCAATGTTCTRTTCCCAGCAGCAAGCAAAACACGCTTTATTGCTTACCTRTTATTCTCATGGGGGGTCCCCTTGGTCTTTGTTGTCATATGTGTCGTCATCGAYCAACAGGGAGAGGTCTTCATTGGATACGGGAATGCGATAATCTGCTGGYTAACAGATATGAAGGCTCAGATATTATTTTTCGGAGTCCCTGTTGGTATTTTATTACTGTATAACCTAGTTGCCTTCGTGGTCACTGTCCAGGCTATTCGTGCAGCTAAACTTGGCTCTAAACACCTGCACCGACAAGGCACCAATCGCAGCCACGAGATTAAGATCTACTTCCGGCTGATGACTATTATGGGATTCACGTGGTTCTTTGGATTTGGTGCGCATGCGCTTCACAAGTTTTTAATGTACCCATTCGTGATCCTGACGTCACTACACGGCGTTTACCTCGCGTTTGCATTTGCATTCAAGCCATACGTCTTCAGTCTGTACAGAAACAGGTTTGCCAACTTAAACTTTCCCAATCGAAAGTCAACCCTCTCAACGGTCGATCTGACAACAAGCATGAAAAGCGTGCCGTCAAAGGAAACAGAGTCAGTGTTGTAGACTCCGCGACGCCTAGCACGTTTAGTGGACGTGAGTTCGCATTTCACGTGACACTTGAAGTACTAAAATCACAGTCGGATAAAGACCTCTCAGACAATGAAGTGCCACGACATGATTCATGCTTGACAAATGCTTCACGACACGGAAACATTAGAAGAGGTTTAAGAACAAGCATGTCTCCTGCCCATGCTTTACATCTTAGATTACTCTGACACAAAAACACAATGTTTAGACGACCATTGGYATTGYCACGTCCCATCCACCAGTAAACAAACTCATTACTGAAATCATAGTTAGTACCAACTATACTGAAATCAACTGTTATATTAAATACTACAAGTGCATGTTAAACTTATTATGAAAACAGTCGAATTTAATCCGATTTACGCAAAAAAATGGGGACCAAAACGGGTGAAAAGTGGTTTCTAATCAAACATCGTCTTATGGGGGCAAAATAAAACGATGCATTAATGGGTTATGTCACGAAAATAAATTAAAACCTTTACTTAGACATTAATATTAGAAAGAACAGACACTTTAAACATTGATAAGGGTAAAGAGCTTTTCATTAATTAATGTCAAAACAATTTAATTGCATACAAAATCTACTAATTAATTTCTGTATATTGTTATATATCTTGTGGTTTACGATTAACTCAGTTAATAGTTCTTTCAGAGTCCGCACATATCAATGTATAGTATATTTACCAAACCAAACGTACATGAATGTCAGTAGGGCTCTGCATTGAGTTTTTCCTTCAACTTGACAGCGAATAACTGGGAAATATTCCATCCAAAGTTACTCAGCGTTGCATTTATTCTGTGACTGAAGTTTCTTTCACAAAATGCACACCATTGCGACATGACAGAGTTCAAAAATACTCTTTCTTCAAAAGAGTAAATCTTCAAAAGAGTAAAGAGATTATAGCTATTAACGTGAATACTATGACTCCAGCCTTGAACTCTTGAGAGAAGTGCCATCGCTTGTTTGTGTCCTTTAAAGTAAAATTTGTTTTTAAGTTATTTTGTATGTAAGAGTAAGAAAAAAGGACGTTAAAATTAGTGAATACAATCGATGATCATGTGAATAATCAGTATTTGTTAGTAAAATTATTATTATTGTAACAAATAAAAAAAAATTGGTGGTGTTCAAAATAGATTTTGTGGAATATTATGATTATGTTATTCTAAGCCGCCATTACCTTCTTATTATTACAAGACAAACACAATTTACAGCCAGTCAACAATAAATATCAATCAAAATTGCATTTAAATGGCAAACAAAATTTACAGCCAGTCAACAAGAATATCATTCAAAATTGCATTTAAATGGCATTTTGGCTGTAGTTAAAAAAGAACAATCATTTCATCAAACGATGCATCATCATTAATATCACATCAATCACCGATGATATAGCCATATCATGGACTTCACATCCAACAATCACACATATGAAAAAGGCAATATTACCTTTGTTGGTATTTGAGGGAATTGTTCTGAAAATTGGCGAGGCTCATTGTCACTTGGTGTAGTGCTGTCCCTATCACAGCTACTAGAACTAAATCAACAAAAAAGTAATCACAACTCATGTCACAACTGCATCTCTGTATACAGGGCAGTCCTTAGAAAGCCAGGGGTCATACAGTTTTTCACTCATGCCAATCTCCTCCAAGCTTTACTAAATAGTCTTTAGGTTTCCTAAGATACTCCAGGCTAATCCTACTTCATGATATGTGTTTACTAGTTAATCTTTGAAAATGTTATCCCTTATGACGAGGGTTCACTCCATGGCTGGTGTGCTATATTGTCAGTGTCAGAATTGTCAATGATAACTCAGTCAATATCTCTTTATACCTGTATGTGCTTTCTTGTGTGATGTCTGAAAAGGTCACATTTGATATTTCAATTTCATGTACACTACCAAAGAAGTCTGTAATCAGAGTCTGATGAGAAGACAACAAAGCTTTAATACTAGATCCATTGTTATTTAACATCATATCATCCAACAAACCTTATGCATATCTCTTCTAAATAAATCAGTACGCACACCAGGGGTTGACATAACTAGACTAGGAGTAGTGTAATCAAACTATAAAACAAATGATAATATCATCTTTTACGTGAAGAAAAAGTCAATTAAACACTGTTATTAAATATAAAAGGTATTTCTGCTTCCCTTGAAATCCATACTCACCAGGTCTGCAAGAGTAGATTTACTGGAAGGTCCTATTCTTTCCAGGAACTGTAACAGGTAGTAGGTGTACCTGTCAATCACATGGACGCCAATGGCTGGGTCGTCATGGTGCTATAGTCATGTCAATAAAGATCGGTGATTTTACATTAACTAACCATACTGACTTAAAAGCATTACTAAGCCATTGTTGAACACACAAATATTATTCTTACAGAGAGTGAATCTTCACCAATCAAGCTGCTACCCACTCCTACAATGTTTGGAGAATACATCTTTAAAGTCATGGAATATGCCTGACAGCTATCCACAATGAAAAACATTTCATGGTATCTGTCAAAATAAGACATGTATTCATTTATTTTACTTCAAAATGTCTCTAGAGAACAATGGATATCACTGATGGCTACAGCATTTACCTTTGTTTTTGCCACATTTGTTCAAATGCATCACCGAGCTCTACACTAGTTATCTCTTCAGCATCCTGAAACTTGATGAAACCATCTCCACCATGACCTGAAATGCAAGAGTTTAGCATATTGGAAATTTTCCAAAGAAATGTTGAAAAATTTAGCAATATTTTGTTTATCTTTTTCACAGGTATGCTATTTGCACTTAACAATTGTTRATGCAACCACCCCAACACATCTCTCTGYATACATGAGGCAGCCAARATGATGATGATGATGAATRATGGTTTACCTGTCATGTAAATCAAGATATTGCTTCTCTCATCAGACAGGAGTCGTTTAGATCTTGGTACACTTTCTGGTAGGCGTCCTGATTGAAAAATCTGTCATTATACTTCATATTTTATATAATAAAGGCTATGAGTATCAATTACAACAATCAACTCACCAGTAAGAACCCTGATAAAATTTTCAGCTGTAACCTAGGAAACCAGTTTGCTTGTTAGTTCTAAWAACTTCACAAAAACTTGTSAAGCTTCCAGACCATGTATTAATGCCAATAAAGAATCTCTCTTAATACAAAATATAACATGCAATAAAATATTGATAAATGTTTATGATAATAGAGTAATTATAAGTGCTGTAATAACAGACCTCATATCCCCTGTAATCCACCTCTACATCATCACCATAGACATTGATATGCTGATTGACATTATTGAACACAGTTCCTAATGAAAGAGTGAGTTGTAGTGTGAAACAGTCAATGAAAACCCAACCACAATGGATAAAGACAAAAACTACTTGTAACATTGAGATGTTTTGACAATTTATGTTTTTGTCAGTTCGTTTATTTGTGCATTATTTCAAAAGTTATATGATACATGAAGTAAACTAAGTTATTAATATTTCATCAAATCATTGCTTTATTTAATTTATCCATACTCTTATTCATCCCATTCATTCATCCATCCATTTCCTGTTTTTATATTGTATATATGAAGACTATAGCTTTGATCACAGCATCTAATCACTTATAAATGCATAAAAGATACCTGGTCTTGGATTCCTTGGATTGCAAGGCATATCATCGGCCATCATCAGAATAATATGACTATCAAAGAAGGACACCAAGCAAGTTACAAAAAGTTAATCTTAGTATCATCGAATGCATGTAATTTCACTTCACAAATACCTGTCTGGAATACCCAATCTTTTTACACTACGATACACAGACAGCACGTTAGCGATATGTCTATAGTTGAACCAAAACCTGGAAGTGCAAACCTGCATAAAGATCAACACATTATCAACATCATATAAGCTTACTTAAAGCATACCAATGTACACATGACAAAATTCAGGTGATTTGCTGAAACAAATACCAACCAAAACTGCCCAGTTATTTGTATGCCCTCTCTGAAATACTTTATCCAAAGGAGGAGTTTTCTGTCCGTTAATACATGAAATAATAGCTAAAATAATAAGCAGGCAAAAATATGTCAAACTGGCCGCCATTTTGGATATTAGAAACGCGGGGTAGACTGGGTAATACAATCCCGAACAACTCACGAATACAGTACGATTCATTCCGAACCAAATAGTCCTTGAAGTGTTTATTTTATCTGATATAATATTAACTTTTCTKTAATAACTTTTTGTATTATATTCAAATCGTTGTAATAACTATATATCATGATTTTTTTTCAATAATATTTTTCTTGTATCCCAAATCAAACACTAATCAACGATGCATGATGTTGGCATGGTAACTTCAAGCAGCACAATTATAAGGACATTATACTACATGGTGGTCGCGGACAAGGTTTATTTCAGAAAACGTTCTATAAATGGAGCTATAGACTAAAATTATCATGACTGCCGAAGAGAGTAAAGATTATATGGCAAGAACTGAGGTTCATCAGCTTTTTGAGGTGAGTTTATGTCGTTAATGTCGAGTCTGTCTCCGTTTCTCCGGTCAAATATAATGTTTATTTGTTGTCGAGAACATGTTATATCCAGATGATATCCCAGTTTACTCCCAGCTTTGTACAAAACGTAAATTGTCGCTATGATATTACCGTTTGTTTGCTCAATTTTCTGCAATTTTAAAAGGTGAATTCACCGTGTTTGATTGGCAAAATATATTCAAACATCACTCTATTGTCGAGACCTGATTCTACATGTATATCGTACGATATAAAGTATACGGTGCACCCTAATATACGGGGAAATCTTTTAAAAATATTTTAAATTTGAGTAGTTTTTTTTATAATCAGCAATTTAAGCTTAGTATTTGACCGCTTTAGCAGTTCATATAACCAACCGTCACCAATTCATTACAGGCGGACAGTAATGATCAATTCCTATAATAGAAATCTCCCTAAAAATACGCAAATGATCTTGTTTTCTGAGCAGTTTTCTAGTTCAAGCGAATGAGACCTTAAAACGAGTTTGTTATCTCACTTGCGGTCAGTGTTTGGACAAAAGATAAGACAGATAAACTATAAACACAATATGTCCATATTGTAATTACAGGGAAAGAATTACTAAAGTCGTGATTAAGATCATGAAATCGTGCGCCATTAGACCTGGTGGTTCTTGCTATGAAAAAGCTCGTTTTGTTAATCATCCCATTAAATTACAATAAAAGCATTTGGGTCTCAACAGGTGAAATACAATTCGAAATAAAAAGAAAATGAGTTTTGAATGGGAAACTGGAACAAAACGAAAGAAATGATCAGAATGGAGTGCAAACATGGAAATGGGAATGTTATTATGAAAGAAAAAAACGATCAAATTGAGAAGAGATATTTCAGTTTTTTGTGAAATAATTAAACTTTCTGACTTTATTTAAATAAGTACATTTATATGAAACAAGGGGAAGTCAAATAGATTTACAAATCTACCAAATGCACTTTGTCTGCACTGACATTTATGTGCTATAAAGCAGAGACTTCTAAGGAGTACAGATACTGCTCAGCAGGCAATAAAATTTATTGTATTATTTTGATTTCAGGGGATGTTAACTGGCTTACTATACAACAAACCAGAAGACCACCTTAGTTTCCTTGAGCAATGCATAGCAGTTGCAAAATCTGAGAAAAATGACATCAAATGGAACACATTTTTGGATCTGAACAAAAAGCCCCTACCACCCATCCCCAAGGGTGACGGACCRCTAAGATCAGAAGGGMAAGAGGAAGATAAAATTGCAACATTTGCCACAGAACCAGGSGTTGAGATCAAGAGTAAGCAGCCATTACCACCRATAGGAGGAAGAAGTATTGATGACGATGAAAAGGACTTGACAGAGAAAGATATTATTACTCCTGTTGAATCTGATGAAGAAGAGGAGGAGGTTGAGGTGGAGTTTTCAGGACAGAGAATTGT